AAACATGTTGACATATCCACTCACATCTCTTAGCTCTTCATCATACCAGGAAAGCTGAGACTGGCCTTTCCTGGCTTATGTTATGTGTGTGTGCAAACACACACACACACACACACACACACACACACCCCACACCCTGCCACCAGCATTGCTCACCATCTCCCACCTGTGTCCTCCCTCTCCAACCTGCCCCTACTGACTATCTATTCCTCATATTCGTATTTCTTGGGTGTTGTACTTCTATTAAGCTCTTAGACTTGGATCTAAGACGGTGACTGCCTTCATTGCCATTCCTTCCATAGCTCTGTTTGGACACATTCCCATGTCTTGACCGCATGTATCCACAGACGCCCCTGTGTCAGCTGCCTCTCCCAGGCAAGAGTGAGCCAGCAGTTGCTACCGAGCGCTTCAAGTGGGACAAACATTGTGCTCTTCACTCTAAAAGTATCATCTTATGAAATATTTATAACAACACTTGAGGTGGATTATATTAAGTCCAATTTAGAGATAAAGAAAAATTGAGTCTTAAAAAAAAGTGTAAGTGTGTTACCTGAGGTCAAATGACAAGGCAGCGATAGAGTTAGGGCTTGCTAACAGGTGTGCAGACAGCCAAGCCAGCGTGCTTGCGTGTGTGCGTGACAACTCTGGGACTGGGCCGCACCCACTGTGGCCTTCTCCTCTCAACATAGGGGACAGTCATGTGCATTCCTGCCTTGGTCCAGTGGAATTGACCCAGTTGGTGCAATTCTCCACATATCTGCTCCCTGAAGAAGAGGGGTCCAGTAGTTGATTTTACAGTGAACTGTGGTGAAGAGGAAATGACATTGCAGGGACCAGGGGCAGGCTGCCCCCAAATGTGCCACATTGGCATATTGATTATTTTGAATTAAATCTACTTAAAAAACGGCATTGCAAAAAGGACACTCAGACCCTCCTGTGTCCGCCTGAAAGCAGGAAAGGCACCCTCCTTGTTCCAGGAGAAAGGGAGACATTCTTACCACCGGAGACAGGGAATTCAGAGCTGAGAAGCTTGTGTCAGTCCCTCTTGTTAGCTTTTACTAATTTACCACCGTAGCCCAAATTCTGTTTAGAGTTCCTTATTAATGGAAGCTCCCAAAGTTAAGTTTTCTTTGTCCTGTCAGTTCCTCATAGATTTATTGTTTCTTTGTCTAAAAGTATAAAAACTTCCTGCCTTGATCATTTCCTTGGGTCTCAATTTCGTTATTGGGCCCCCAAAGAAAACTTTGGGGTTTTTTCTCTGTGAACCTGTCTCAGGTAAATTTAATTTTTAGTTCAGCTAGAAGACCTTGAAAGGTAGGGGAAGAATTTTTCTTTCTCTTCAGCATCATTGTCTTTGATGCCTCAGAGACATCACTCACTTCTTGTGTCACCATGAACAAATTATATTATCCCTCTGAGTCTCATTTCCCTTGTCTGCAAAGTTCAGATGGCATAATTACTGACAATTTGTATGGATATCAAATGGAACAACATATGAAACCAGTTTGCACATTGCCAGGCACGTAGGGAATGACTCATAAATGCATTTATAAATGCTAACTTTTTCCTCTCCCAGTTGTTGAGATCTGTCTTTAGTGCAATATGGCTTTAAATTTTCTAGTCAATAAATGGAGAGATACAGAGCAAAAGTAAAATTAATAGGTTAGCAGGGTTTTTGTTAATATAAAGATGAATTTATGTAAGGGAACACAAATTAGCATTAATGTTTATCACAGAGGGAGGCAGAGTCTCAAAACAGCAAAGGAAAATTGCAAAAGGCAATAAGGTAACCTGGATAATTATTTTGGTAAAAGCAGGAAAAGGTGTTGGTGGCCAGTACCTTGACAAAAATTATACCAGTTTTCAGGACCTCCCTGCTATTTCTTGGCAGGGTAGGTGCTTTCAAGGTACAGAGCTGTGTTTTTGCATATTGTAACATGTTGGGAAGGAAACTCATTTTTCCCAAGAAGATCAACATCAAAGTCCAAAGGGCAGTGGACTCAGAAATCAAGAGAACTGTTTTCTATTAGAGGTTCTATTGTTGGGAATTTACCTTCAGCAAATCCCTGAATTTGGGGGATTGTGATGTTCCATCTGTAAAATGAGAACTGCTGGTCTCTCTAAGAAGGGTTCAAACCTCGAATTACATGGCACACACACACGGTAAGCTTGGGCTTCCTCCAACCATGGTGACCTCCAAGTAGTTAGACTTCCACAGTAACTCAGGACAGGTGGAGGGAAGGAGAATCTGCCTTAGAGGTCATCGAAGGCAGAGCCAAAACAGACATAATGTCATGCCTACCTTCCATTATTCATCAGAGCTGTCATCAGTCAGCCCAGATTTGAGGAGGGAGCCCAGGCACCCTGTGTTTGAATGCAGCTGTCTTCAATCCTCCACAAAAGTAATGCATATTTAGTGTTCCCAATGACACGACTCCATTGAAAGACATGGAGCAGAACAGCTTGATGGTCTGTGAGCAGACCCGATGCCTGGTTTTGAATAATGACTGAGGAATGGATTCTCTGATGTGTAGAGCAAGAATTAAACATCCGAGGTATGGTGGACAAGAGTTGTACCTTGGACAGAGCTTGGCAGAATATGGACATTTGCATTTTCAAATAAAGACTTTTCACTTTTCTGAATTAAATATTGAAGCAGAATAAAAAGGAACTAAAGAGACAAGGGAAGAAATAGGTTAACGGTCTCCTGTAACCTGAAAACCAAGAAATAGAGACACGAGGCAAGGAAACAATAGAGGGCAATTCAGATGAAATTTTTATGGAGGAAATTCTCACCTTATTTATTTCCAGAAAAAAAAATGTTTACTGTGTTTCCATGATGCTTAAGACTGACCATTTGGAAGAAATGTATGTCCCAGAATTTTAAAAAAATAGAAGGAAAAGTAATTTGGGAAAGAGGAGGTAACCACTGGTGACTTATTGTATGCTAATAAACAAATTGCAACATATTAGGAAAAAATAAAGGGTAGACAGAAGTGTGATTAATATGAGATTGCTTTATGGATTAATTGGTGTTTATTAATGGGCTTTGCTCACACTAACTAAAGATGCTGTATGTTGAATTCAGTTTATACCTCACATGAGAAATTGGCTTTCAAGGTGAAAGGCCTTTTGTCCCAGTGATAATTCCATAAAATGAGCCTTGCCACTATCCCTTACAGCCATGGATATTCAGTGTGTCTGTGGGTACTTCTTCGCAGGCATAGCCCCAACCATAGAGATTCTCCCAACTGTTACGTCTGGGGTAAAACCAGAAGTGTGGTTGGCTAAGAAGCACCCCAAAGATTCTGGAAAGCAGTGCCCTATTATAACCCAAAAATTTGGCTTCTCCCCCAGAACCCCTATCTACCAACCATGGGATGTTCGGACGGTTAGTACATCTATTTTCCTGATAAGAAGGAAAACTTTGAAATGCACCAAATTGTGAAAAATATAAAAGTTGGTTACAATGTTCGCTACTTGGAGGCATCTTTTTAAAAGAATACCTTCAACAGGGCCAGACTTTTCAATTCAATGAGTAGGGCACATTTGTGGCAAGACATAGCCGATCTGGAAAGGTCTTGCTGCTAAAAATGTGAAATCAAATAAATATGTTCACACCCTTTAGCTTCATCTTCCATTAAATGTGAAAACCTCTTAGCTTTATGGGGCTCTAAAGGGCCTGTGAGAGCGTATCAGGTGCTTTCCTGACAGCGTCTTGGAGGAAGGCTGTTCACACTGGACGCAGAGTACAGCAAGTCTCGGAGGCAGGGCGAGCGGTGGGAAAGGGCCAGACCACGGGGAGCATACCAGTCTCTAAGGTTAGGCTTGACAGACATGATCTTTCCCGCTCCCACTTCTGCCAAATGTCAGGTATTAAATAAGGAGGAAATGTGAGGTTTTATTGATTAGAGGATTGCCCGTTGCCCATCAGAAAGTGAACATTTGCTCAGATTGCATCAGAGAAATGTGTACTTAGACCACATAAAATTATTTCTGGGTGTTTTTCTTTAAACCTGGTGTGAATCAATAAAAATACATTTCTCTCTCGAAAATGCAATGTAAATTATTGTTCTCTTTGAACTAATCATATGCGTGGGCACCTGAGGGACATTGTGTTGATCTCTGGGGCTAACGTTAAAATTTATGTTTCCAATAGGAAGATACGCCACACTTTCACCACAGAGCTTCTCAGAGAAAACACGTTTTTAATATGTAAAATATCCTATTTCAGGAGCACAGAAAAAGATCCATTTGAGAAAAGATCCATTGGGTGAGGGTGGGAGGAGGTGTCTGGAAAAGTTGTAAGACACTGAAATGGGTGAAGAGGATTAATGGCGTCTTGTGTTGGGCACCATTTGGGAGTATCTGTTTCTGAAAGCACTTGCACCTCCAATCGGAGTTATTTTATAATTCAATAAATTGTAGAAAGCTGATAGTAATGCAAATAATTCTTGTTCATAGAAATGCAAATATACTTCTCCGGTGGCTACAACTGGTTATTATTCTGGCTGTTTACCAGCATTCCTGATTGTCTGTATGCCCTTTGAATTCTCCTTGGAATCAGTTGTACTATCTTTTTTGTTCCTTCCAAATTAATGAATGAGATCAAATCGTCTACAAGTGTTTATTTCATATGTTTGGAGTCATAATTGTACTTTTTTTTTTAAAGTTAACCTTAAACAGCAAATTAGGCAGGTATCTGTAACAGATTCTGTCATATGTCCCCCACATTTAACCCTCAACTTATTTTTTTATTAAGATTTAATTTATTTATTTGAGAGAGAGAGAAAGAGCACAAGCAGGGGGAGAAGTAGACTCGCTGCTGAGCGGGGAGCCCGATGCGGGGCTCGATCCCAGGTCCCTGGGATCACAACCTGAGCCGAAGGCAGACGTTTAACCGACTGAGCCACCCAGGCGCCCCAATGCTCAACTTCTAAAAGAGCAGATTTCATTCTCATATTTTACATAAAGCCTGACACATCTCCTTTTTCTTTTAGCTTCAGACGAGCCTGACTGAGCCAATGACGTTATCCAAATCGGTATCTCTTCCTCGCAGTGCATACTGGCATCACATCACTCGTCAGAACAGCGTTGGAGAGATCTACAGTCTGCAAGGCAAGTAACTTGAAAATAATAAAGCAGCACCTCCATTAGCCTCCTACTGGTGGGCCCGGAGTCATGCAAATTGCTTTGCTTGCTTTTCCTCCATTTTCATTTATCAGCTGTCACTGGCCACAGTGGGAGCTCTGAGATTTACAGTGGCTTTTCTAAAGCTATCACTTCATAGACTCACAGTAGAAATTATCCCAAAAGTCACTAAGGGCTGAAGACCCCATTTGGCACAGGAACTTGACTAGGACATTATACAAAACATATTATCAAAAGCTACAAGTAGCTGGTACTGGGGTCTGTTTCATGCCGTTTTACAAAGGATTTCTTTCTTAGCATCCTTTTTTCTAAATAGGATTGAATATCCGTTCAGGAGGCTGATTTCAGGCTCTGTAATAAAATGCTACATAAACCTACTCACAGAAGTCTTAAGGTTTATCCAAAACCTTGACATAGAAATAATTCTGGAGGGTGCAAGGCAGGAGACAAGTGTGAATACTTTGCTTCTGTGTTTTTCCTAATGATGAATGTGTAATCAACTAAAATGGGAATGGTTTACCAGATGAATCAGATTAATAGATAGCAGGTATTTCATCAAAAGCAGCACAAACCTCAGCTTTGGCATTTTTTTTCTCCTATTCTTTCCCTATCGTCTTAAAATGAATAATCTTATCCTTCAGATAAAATTTTCAGCGGCAAGCAGCTGACCAAGACTGAAGGAAGTGGGAACTTGGAAAAATAAGGCAACAAAACACATTCATCCAACAAAGATTTTTTGAGCACAATACATTTGAACATAATAGGCACCCAATAAATATCTGGTGAAGAAATGACCGGTATGACCTTCAGCACAGTTAGGCATTCAGAATGTTTTTCCATTCATACTTTAACTTTTGCTCATATTAACAACACTAAGTGTTTCAACAACAACAACAAAATGTTTTGGTGACAAGGAAACTGAAATGGTGTATTTTTAAAGCAATGTTTGCTTGCCAGGATTTCCAACCTAGACTAATGGAATTTGGTCAGTGGGAATTAATGATTAAAGATATATTCTGCAAGGAAAAACAGAACAGTTTTAGTCATTTGTTGATGACAATTGCCTTTTATATTTTAAATGAACCCTCTTATGGGTAGTTATTATCTTTTTGTGTTGTTTCTTTTCATGAGAAAATCTTTAATAGGATAAGGAGTAGAGAGGATTGAGGGGGCTCTTGACAATTTTGTGGATCAGAAAGAGGAGACACATATCTTGCTCTTGCTTCCTTCTACAAACGCCAGCAACCACACGCTAAAACTGAGTCATGATCTTGGGATTAGAAATAATTAGAAAATACACTTTTAATGTAACGTTATTTTTATTTAAACATAAACGTATATGTGAAATGATTGTTAAAAAACAAAATTCAACTGAGTAAATTTTACGTATCATATTGGCTTTATTCAACGATTCATGAGCAGACAGCATGCCATCCAACAGATAGAAAAGAGGACTGAGGAGCTACATACAAAGAAAGACTTCTATAGGCAAAAGGAGCAGGGACAAGGAGGTTCTACTGGCCAAGAATGGATTTGGTGTAGCAAGGTCACTTTCCTTTAGGGGATGGCAGGAGTCTATCGACCGATGACCTCACTACTACTGACCAGGTAGTTCCCACTGATTGGTTTAAGATTCTTTTTCTGGGAGAGCTGAAAGTGTAATTCAGTTATGGGCTGTCTCAGGTGGGTGTTTTGGGGCTTAGCTAAGTAACTCCATATTGAGCCTATTGTCTTGTTTTTAACAGTATCGATATTTAATGAAGTAAAAATAAAACCATGGGACATTTTCATGAGGAAATACAAATGAGCAAATTTCTAAGCAAAAAGAAAGTCAGATGTTAATACAAATAAGTTCAAAAAAGGTTGGAGCCAATGTAGTGATAACTTTGGTTTGCGACAAGAGTTTGGTCTATAATTCCAGCAAATGAAAGATTGTTGTTGTCATGGTAGTGTGTGGGGAACTTTTCTCTGAAAGGAGAGCTGACATTTAGACTGATGCACAACATCAGAAATAATTTCGTATGCATCCAGCAAAAAATGCCAGAATGCATTTAAATTTCTCAAAATATCAATGAAGACTTGCAGGGGGACAGTGTTGACTTACAATACAATAGAATCAATAACAGTTTGGACACTCTGGGATCTATCTCACAGATACTAATTTCCAGCAAAGGTAAGGATTTAAATGCTCTATCAATTATGATGAAGAGTTTGCCTGTGAAGTCTCAATAGCACATTCTTCCTTGGTTGGTGGTTGTTTTGTGTAACAAAGAAATATGCATCGATTAAGTTGAGTACTACAAGTCCAATAAATATAGAATGTATTTGATGTAAATTACATTTCACTCCACTGTGGCTGCACTTTTATACTGTATGCTTCTTAGAGCAATATGTTTTACCATTTTACATACCCCTCATTTTATGGTTATATCATAGAGAGAGAGATATAGATAGATGGATAGCTAGATCGTCAGTAAGTAGATTATATAGAGATAGATAAGGATGTAAACTTGTTAGTGATGCTTTGACAAAGCTGATATATTTTACTCTCCTTTTGTTCTGTTGAGGCAGTCAAGGTAAGCAGAGGACAAGAGTCCTTTAACCATAGTGTTTTGTTGTTTTGTTTTTGTTTTTGTTTTTGTTTTTTTGGTGTGTAATTGGCACAGACTTCACCCTCATGGAATCAGGGCATGATAAAACTACCAAAACAGGAAATAAAAATGGAAAAAGTGAGGCTTAGCCCCCCTTCTTCATACACATCTACATTTTTTTTCAAGAAACTACATTTGATGCTTCTGATCTGAGTTATTTTATAACTCAATAAATTGCAAAAACCAAAAGGAGAACATAGTCTGATTTTCCAGAGTCAAAGGTAAAATGGGCAATGGTGGGTGTGACATCGTCAAGTAAACTGCAGGTAGCATTGAGGAATAAAAATGTGTCTTTAGAATTTTTCATCATATTTTCTACATTCTAACTGTGAAGCTGAGATCAATATGAATTAAATTCAGCAGGTTTTCATTCAGAAGGTAAAGGTGGAAAAGCTCTCTATATCTAAAGCTTCATAGATTGGGATTCATTAAGAAGCAGCACATGTATTAGAACTGAAAAAATATTCATGGTGTGAAAACAAATCTATTCCACATTATGACATACCTATAACTTCAATTGCCTGTCACCCTCAAAGCCGTGCTTGCTCAGGTTTATTGGATTCATTTCTGTCATCTGTTCTATAACTATAGAAGCGAGATACTCTCTAAAAGACCAACATATCAATACTGACATCCTGCATTTACTTTAATGTTTGGAAAAGAATATAATATAATCTACTAAATCTCTCCATGCTTCTCCATGGTGCTCTGAAAGTATAAGTTTTTATCGTTTCTGTCTTGTGCGCCAGCTCTCTGAAGTCAAAAGACTAACAAAAAAGAATAATTCGCTTTAACAAGTACAAGTTAGCTAAGGACTAAGCAGCTACTATGGAAAATCCCTCCCGCTAAGGGGCTTGTGAGAGACTGGATCACGTCACCTCTTCTTGCAGAAGGTGTGAGTAAAGACTTTTCCTGTTCCCGATTGTTGCCAGATAATAAGGATGATTAGTTTGTATTAGAAAGTAATTTTGTTTCTATTTCTCTGACTTACGCACTTATGAAAAATGTTTGCGTCACAACACGTTGTAGAGATGCTATCTCTAGACTTAGGGAAACCATTTACTTCAAGAGAAGGAAACATGATTTTGAACTCCTGACTCAAAAGTAAATGCCACTTGTTTAAAATTGCTAGAATTGTGATTTTGGTTCGAAGACCTTCAGCAGATGTGTGGAGAGTATGAGGAACACTCAAAAAAACCCAAAAAGGTGAGAGGGGGTTGGGGAGGAAAAGAAAAAGGAAAAAGAAACAAACGAAACCCCATAAGCAGGTTAGAGCTTTTCTTTGGAAGGTCATCACCTTGACTTGTAGTCACTGTTCTCATAACTATATGACAGATTGTGTAGCAGGGTCTTTAAATCAGGATTTGTGAAGACAGCAAAGCATTTATTGAAAATGACAAATCAATCTAGTAAAAACCACTGGTGGTCCCAGGCTCACTGCAGGCACTCATTGAGCCTTTGTTGAATGCAAAAATGAATTTAAAAATGCATTAGGAAGGATAGACTACCTTGTCTCCTCCCTGAGGAAAATTCTCACCCGACCTACAGAAGGAATCATCATGTCTGGTCCTACACGCAGCCGTCTTCCCTTTGCATGCCCTTTGGCTTGTCTGCTTCTTGCTTTAGGATTGCCTTGAGTCCACAGATATTTGCTCCTGCTAGTCTTTACTTGGTAAACACAGGAAGCGCTATGAGCTGCCGTCTCTCTGCCCCCAAAACCTGAGAGCTGGGTTTCAGTCTTCCACCAGCTATACTGACGAGAAACGGGGACAAGAATGTGGGCTGAAAATGGTCCCCCGGTTAGTGGGCTTTGGGACGTGTGCTATCCTTACATTTTCCCTGATACATATCATCACCTATTTATACACAAAACTATATGGGATATACTGTGACTCAGTCTGGAGCAGCTTGAACAGCCTCACTGCACCAAGGGGGGGGATGCTGCTTGTAAAAGTGGTAACTTTTGGAGTTATGCTTTCCTTAACACTGATTAATATGCACCTGCCAACTCCACCCTCTCTACGTCTGCAATTAAGCTGCAGACCCCCCGAGTCAGCACAGCGCGCACCTGATTACACAGAAGGCAGTTGATGCTCACCAAAAGGGCATCGGCAGCTCCAATTTCTCAGAAGGACAGGATGCAAACAGGCAATTAGAATTAGAGATAACCTTCAGGAAACAGTAAATAGAATTCTGACATAGATTAGGGAGGTAAATCAAAGGATGTACTCACTCTTCGCTTAACTACGACCCTCTGTCCTTTCCTGCCCATTTGGTTTCAAGTTCACACTGTTTGTAAATCATTTCCATTGGGAC